GTTCTTGATCGCAACTAACATCAATATCCGATAATGTAAGTCAGCTGCATCACATGTGGCATAATTTATCAAGAATTTCTTGTCTACATGATGGAGTTTCCACCTAGTGGATTGTTCCTGTCACATCAGATAAAATAAAAGATTAGGAAATACAATGATCAATGAATTCGATGCCGCGTTCACTCTTCTATATTTGGCTTCACTTAATCTAGATAACATATGATCAAGTGTTATCAACTAGCTTACTAATTCTACTACTGCAGTCATGATCGGTTTTTTATTTACCTTTGTGGTACTGTTGACGGAGAAATGAGCAGCCATGCGAACTCTTGCATTTGACAGACTGATGGTCACTCTTATATCACAGGCCTCAGTCATCCAGACTAATAAGGAAAGTCAGCATACTATATACACGAGGTAATTGATGGGGTCATCAACATATCAATAATTAGATTGCAAGTGGGCTGGTGGGACGCTCAAATAGAATAGGAATTTCAGGATGTGGAAAATAGGAGATTAATACGGAATTTGTGTGGAGAAAATATACAGTAAAAGAGCCGGTTAAGACACTATAGATTTTTCCTAAGTTGCTCAATATGTTTTCTATATAAATGGTGCTTACTGAAAATTATGGCTCAAAAGGTTCTTAATAGGTTTCTTATTGTTTCTACTTTTTAATATGGTATAAGCTTATACTTGATTCAATCTGCTGTTAAAGATTTCCTTACAACGGAGACTGCAATTTTGCTTAATAATCACACTGATGGGCTACGAGTGTAAGGTTTTCAGTGCTTACCTACGTGTGTGATCAAGTAAGTATCCAAGGAGAACAAAGCAAGATGCAAGATGCGATGCAAAAAAGAAGCGGTGCTGGCAAAGTTTCGGGTATTCGTGAGCTCGTCTTTTTTGATCTTTTACCTGTGTTTCTTTTTAATGCTCTTCATCTGATGGAAAATTAAGAACTACATTTTAAAATCTTAGCCTAAGAACAAGAGTTTTATGTAAAGGGGTTCTAAATGTGGAAATTTTTTTAGCCTAACAGGGTTCTTAAAATCTTGTTCTCTATACAGCGCGGTTTTTACTGATGTAAGGTTAGGTTACCTCAGCCCAAAATTTAAAAAAAAATAAAAAATAATGAAAAAATTGAATTTCCCTCCTTTAGGCACGTTGGTATTCCAACTTCAATTCCCCTCTATCAAATTTTCTCAATACATCCTATGAAGTGGTGAAGAATATTTCATAATTAGCATGTATGGGACTACTTCTATGAGTTAAATGTATACTTTTGGCTGTTTGTGATCTTTCGAGGCTGATTTCTCAGTTTCGCATTTTACAGCGTTTCAGCCTGTATAAATTGGAACTACTCAAAAACTACTACAGATATCTATCTGAAATTTGGAGGGTATTATCTTGAGGTATAGACCTGTAAAATGAACTAGAATCAGCATGATACAAGTGATATAACTTAATCTATGAAGTGGAATAGAGTCAAGCCTTGTCCACATTTTATGAAAATGACAGTTTATCCCAAATTTTTTCCAAGCGGAGCAAATTACATAACTGATAATAGTTCATTTTATAGAATACACCCTGTTGATCATTTCTGCCAAGTTTTATCTAATTGTGTTGAGTAGTTTTGATGCTTTAGCAAAAATAAAGAAGTACACTTTTTGATGGTGTCCATCTTGGATTTACGTGACCTAGATTCCAAAACGAGGCTAAAACACATTTTTTCATTTGCAATAAATACTAAGTATTTACCCTGAAAATTTGGAGTCATTATCTTAACTAATAAAACATTTTGGTATTTTGGGTTTGGTCTGCCCCGGAAACCGATAATCGATTATGAAATTCCAGCCGATTCCCATCACTAATATCCATGCACAGGGAAAGTACCTGGTCACAGAGGCAGGAGTCGCAGCGATTTCGGCATTTGGCAAGTATATATACGTACGTATATACGCCGTTCTCGCGAACAGAAGGATATATATATATCTTATATACATCCCCACATGTTTGTCTATACGTCCAACCTATATATATTCTGCATAGCTATCATACCTAGTGCCACTAATAATGCTATACATAAATGTCTATATATTCATAGCCTAATTACCGTCATATCCGACATATACGCCAGTATACGCCTATATATTCATGTATATACATCTGCATCTGAATGTGTGTGGTCGCAGAGGTTATATATACATGCATAGGGAAAGTACATAGTCACAGTCGGAGGAGTCGCAGCGACTTCGGTATATATGTGTGTATATGTGTGCATCTTTGTGGTACAGTGTGTATATATATATCTATACACATATCCACACATGTATATACATCAGGAGTAGATAATAGGGAAGGGGTGTGACTTCAATAAACAAGGGAAATTCGTCATTTACTAGCCTTATAATACCTACAATTTACTACGTGTAACTCATCCAACTTGAGCTCAAATCGTACACAGTACATTCAGGGGCGGATTAAGGCTCACTGGTGCCCTAAGCACTGACCAATCTTGGTGCCCCCCTCCTTTCCACACTGACCCAGTCCATTTTAGTTGTTGACCTGTCTGACCAGATATACCATGCATGTTCCAGCAGTACAAAAATTTATGTAGGATTTCAGCGTAAATGCATGTACACCTTCATTCTGACTACGAGTCAATCTATTTGTTTTTTTTACACATTTCAGTTGTGAGAAAGACCTCT